ACGGCGGCGGCGCACTCGGTGCCGGCGCTGCCAGGCCTGCACCCGCACCGAGTGCGGAAAGTGCCACTTCTGTAAAGACATGAAGAAGTTTGGAGGACCGGGACGCATGAAGCAGTCCTGCCTGCTGAGACAGTGCACTGCGGTGAGACACACACACACACACACACACACAGACACACACGCACACACGCACACAAACACACAGACACACACGCACACACGCACACAGACACACATGCACACAAACACACACGCACGGCACACACACAGGACACACACGCACACACGCAAACAGACACACACGCACACCGACACACACGCAGACAAGACACACACGCACACACGCAGACAGACACACACGCCACAACACGCAGACAGACACACAGCACACACACGCAGACAGACACACACGCACACACGCACACAGACACACACGCACACACGCACACAGACACACACGCACACACGCAGACAGACACACACGCACACACGCAGACAGACACACACGCACACACGCACACAGACACACACGCACACACGCACACAGACACACACGCACACACGCACACACACACACACACTCGCTGTCCTCAAAACCACTGAGTTCACCTGAGGGAAGCATCCAAAGGAGGAAGACTGAATCCCAAAGAGAAACCCCATTCGTCAGGGCAGCGTTGTTAAATGTTAACTCGATGAACAACAAAACATCCAACATCTCAAAGCTCATCACAGAAAACCAGCTGGACGTCCTTCTCACAACTGAGACGTGGTTAAAGTCGGAAACAATGGCAGACAACGTCCTCGAGGAGGCTTCGCCCCCAAACTTCAGATCCTTCCATCATGTGTCAAGTGAAGACGGGCGTAGAGGGGTAGCTATCCAGTTCTCTCCAGTGTTGCATGGTAGATATAAAAGGTTTAACAACATAAAGACCTTTGAATACGTGGCGACAGTTCTGCAACACAAAGAGTGGGAAGAACCCGTCCTGAGCATCAACCTCTATCGCCCGCCAGAGAAAAACCTGACCACCATCCGCAACTTCCTGGATGAGTTTCAGAAACTCTTGAATGAGATTTCCCAAAACCACAACAACATCATTGTGACCGGAGATTTCAATATCTGGGTTGATCGTGAGGATAAGAAGTATGTTAGGATGTTTCTAAAGTTTCTAAGGGTCAACGGCTTCGACCTGCACCCAAATGAGCCGACCTTCCGCCACTCCACTCACACTCTGGATCTGGTGCTCTTCAGAAATGTTGAAGTCTCTGATGTTAAAGTCCGGGACGACCGCATATCAGATCATTACACAGTGTATTTCAACCTGAGGTCAGTGCCGAAAGATAAAAGGAAAAAACGAGACCAGGATGGGAAACGATCTCAAAAAGGTAATTTTTTTTCTCAAAGTGTTAAGTAATACAGGACTAATTTAACTTGTTAAACCCAACAACAATATTCACGAAACTTTGTCTCAGGGCTTCTTAACATTTAACAACTTTTTTTGTAAAAATGCTATTAAAACATGAACCTTGGTGACCATCGGGCTGGCCTGCATGGTCTGCCTACAAACACAAATAAAATACGTTTATGCAGCCCCAACAACTGCCTCTGATCATCAACAGACTCCATGCTTCATCGGATGCAGATATTAGATAATAATCTCTATCTCACTCCTAAAACATCTGAATCTACTTTCATGGATAAATGTTCATAAAATGCATCCATTGTTTGTTCTATATGCTTCTTGAAAACACATAGTTTTTCTAGAACAGATTACAAATCACCTGAAAATGGTACAAACACGTGGCAACATGTGTGACAAAGGTGTTGCGCTGGGCTATATCATGCAATCGAAAGTGAAACTTAAGCTCGCTCCTTTGTGGAGATATTCCCGCGAGAGTGCGGAGAATTTAAATTAATTAATTTGTTCACTAGCTGCTATAGGCTTAGACTGTCGGGGGACACCTTGCTTCTTCCTTCTGTCTGTCTGTACCTGTGTACTCTCATGTTCCCAATAACCAAGCTTCCCCTTACATTTCTTTTTGGTGTCTATATCTACGCCGGGATCCTGAGTCGTGGCTGATCCTGTTGCTGTGGTCCTGAGTCCTGGATCCTCAGTCCTGCATCCTGAGTCCTGCATCCTGAGTCCTGCATCCTGAGTCCTGCATCCTGAGTCCTGCATCCTGAGTCCTGCATCCTGAGTCCTGGACTTCGAGTCGTGGCTGAACCTGTCTCTGCGGTCCTGCCTGACTCTCATCATGCTGCTTCCCTGATGGCTCCCACAGGATTGTTGTTGACATCCTCGTGGATTCATCTTCTTATTACAGACACATGCATTTCCAAACATTTGGTCTACCTACGCTGTAAATGTATTATCTCTTTGATTTGCACACGGCATCTATTGCACGTCTGTCCGTCCTGGGAGAGGGATCCCTCCTCTGTTGCTCTCCCTGAGGTTTCTCCCATTTTTCCCTTTAAACTGTGGGTTTTCTCTGGAAGTTTTTC